TCCTTCCTTTTAAGGGTTAGCTACTAAGTGTTTTGCATGCATTCTGTCTTTTAATCTCATGTTTTTTCTTACGTACAGTTGAAAGAATTTTATTGTGGATTTGATACTAGGGTTGCCATTTTACAGCTGAGAAAATTGAGGCCCAGACAGGCAAAATTACCCAGCCAAGTTCACAGCTATCGTATGGCATCAAGTGGAGTTGCACTACCCAACCATTTTTTTTTACCTAAAAAAATGGCAATTTCATGGGTTCAAACTAATAGCAAAGGGCTGAGCCAAAATCTAACAGTACTTAACTGATTCTAAAGCTGATATTCTCAAATGCCCTCAGACTCTTCTTGGATATTTATCAATTTTAGCATTTATCATTCTTCCCAATAAGGATCTTTTTATATGTCTGCCTCCTAGACTGCACTGTGAATTCATTGATGGCAAGACAGATCTGCCCATCATGGGTTTCTGAAACACTCCTGGGCTATCCCATACCCTGTTACTGCATTCATTCAATTCATCTCTGTTGAATACAAGAATAAATCATTTTAAAGCTGAATTAATGCTGGATGTGGTGGTAACACCTGTAATCCTGCACTTAAGAAGTGGAGACAGGAGGATCACAAGGTTGTGGCCAGCCTGGGTTACATAGTAAGTCCATGTCTCAAAATAAAAAAAAAAATAGAAGGAAGAATTAATTTTCAGCCTCTGGGACAGTGGCTGGCTCCACTAGCATGCTAATCAAGTACCATTTATGGCACCATGCTACCTGAATGTGTTCTCAGTGCTAGAAATCAAACCCCCAGGGTTCGGAGGGTCTTGGGTTTGACAGTTCAAGTTTTCTTTACTATTTTATGACCCAGATAGTGCTGGGCACACTCAACTATGGGACTCAGATGTCCTCTGGGGGAAAAAAATCCACACTTAAGGCTGCTTCCTGGCTTCTGGCTCTTCCTGACACATTCCAAGAAGGAATTTATGGATGTTGGGAACGATAAAGGCTGAGGAATTTCTAGAACATTTAAGAACACCCATGTAAGCAGTTCCATGCTTGACTGACCAGGCACAATAAAATTCTCTTGCTTGCATGCCAGGAGAAAACTTTGGTGTAAACTGCCTCACATGTGGCCAAAATGAGGTAAAAACAAACCCATCTGCATTTTTTGAAACAGAAGGGATTGTCCTTGCCCCTCCAAACCTAGGATATTTCACATACACACCTAAGTCAACAAGATAATATATTCAGTGACCTACTAAAAAGGAAGTCATTAGTAATTAATTCTGAAATGTGTTTCTAGCTAGTTGGAAGATTTTTCTTTTTAAAAAAAGATGAAATTATTGTTTATTCTCCAGCTGTGATCAGGGAAAAATTCAAAGATTGTTGATTCCTTCATCTAGTGATGGTCTTTATCCTGTGGTGAGATGCCTAAAAATAGCCGTTAGTTTATTCCACGTTACTTCCAAAAGGTTAGCTACCAAACAGCTCATCTAGAAAAATCCTGCTCCTGGTGTGCTAAAATTTTCTTCTTGTAATGAGCCCTCCAGGCCCAACATACCACACTTAGCATTTATTCTGCCTTTTGAGGTCACAAAGATAAGCCAGCACCTGGCTCCCTAAGATTTCTACAGTTAACCCTGCATGCCCTTAATGTTGGCTTTCTCAGCTATAACAGACACAAGCAGAGGTTTGCTGTCTTTCCTCCCACAAGATATTTTCTGATTACCAATCAATTCCTGTAAGGATAAGAATCTACTTGTATCTTTAGCGTGTAGACTATGTTGCTCATTCTGAAATTATAAAAACCCTGGTATCAGAACCTGATTCTTCATCTTAAATCTCCCAGACTACAATCTCAAGTACTTTTCCCTCAGAGAAGACAGAAATCAGCCAGTTGTCTGCAGGAGAATATTTTGCATTCTTAAAGGTCATTATTTGCTCCGTAGTTTTCCTTCTCTGAAATAAATATTTCTAGTTCTAGTAAATGGATCTTCTCAAGGTTTACCTCCTCACCCATCACTGCAGCATCTCTGATCTAAGTCCAAGTTCCTCCTGAATTTAGGACAGAGTTCAATAGGAGATCAAGTTCCAGCTTAAGGGAAAGGAAACTATTGCCTTGGTTTTGCTTCCGGGACTGCAGTTGGCTAGATTTTGTTCCCATGAGTGCAACAAAATAGTAGCTACTGTTTATTGAGTGTCTGCTATGGGCCTGACACCATGCTGAGTGCTCTATGTACAGATCTCTAATCCTTAATTCTATCTGGACTGGTTTTGACCCTTACTTTATAAATGAGGTCATGGTTTAGAGAAGATCCAGAGAAAGAGTAGCCTTGAACCCAGGTGTATCTAATTCTAAAGCGTAAGAATTTTCCATAAAACTGAAGATCTGATGGGTTTTTCCCAAAGCACAAAAGCAGCCACCTGCCCTCAGAGCAGTACAGGCCAGTAGGAAATTCACAGCACTCAAGAGTAGCTATCCTTCCCCAAAAAAATGTGACTTTGGCTGTGCCCGTGCACATTTCTTAAATACGCTGTGACAAATCCTCCCCCTATTACACTCTTATCATTATTACCCTAAACTCATTGCCTCATTGTCTTAGAGTTTCAACCAAGAACTCTAATGTTTTTTTAGATGGAAATATAGGTCATTTAGAAAAACACACAGAAGTGTTAAGAAAAGTCCTAAAGCATTTCAAGGTTGGGCCATGGCCCTTCCTCAAAAAAAAAAGCTAAGAATTAATGGATGGATAGTAGGAAAAGAAGCCCTTTGTGAGGCAAAGAGAGTTAAAGAGGACATTCTAAAAGAGCGTGCCATCAATAAGTATTTGTCCAGTAAACAAATAAGCTGGACCATATTGGTTTGAGAGCAGAGAATGTGCCAAGCTCTCCTATTTGTAATAATCTTCGTTCAGTGGCCTTAACTACATCACAGATCTACAAATAGTTACTTAGGAGAAGAATTTGTGTAAGAAGAAGTATTGGATTTGTTTTTCCTCCTAGCCACAGAGTAGACACCCTAGCTAGATATTGCTTAGATAGTTCATAAAATATCAGTATAGATGCAGGTATGATGGTAGTGGGAGCGTGGTTAGGACTTTCTTGGCTAAAAGCATAGCTGGTGCTTTCTAGGCCTCCAGAACCCACTGAGTCCTGTAGAAGTACTCCTTCTGTCCAGTTTTCCCTAACATTTCCCTCTCCAGGAAGTTGCAAAATTTTTCTGTTGTCATGAAGAAAGTGATCATTTCAGATAAAGTTGGTGCCTTCTGTCATTGGAATAAGATCTTTTAGGGAAAAAAAAGCTAGAAAATTTCTCATAAGAAATTTCTCATAGAAATTTCTCATAAGCAATCCAGATACCACAAAAAATTGAAATAAATAGCTAACTTGGAATATGCAAACGTAAGAGTAGCATAGGTGTAGGAAAATGTCCATTCATGAAATGACTTATTAAAAAATCAAATAGCTCTTCAGTGATTTTCTTCAACTATATTCAAGTATATTCCTTAAATAAGTGACTTCATACCATGTGTAGATCACTCACACATGCATCTAAGGCATTATTTTGGTCAATGTTAAAACTACACAAAATTTAGCCATGGCTTCCTATCTTCACTCAATAGTTTCTCAACCACCATTTACAACTCCCCTTTCCTCTGCTACCTCACTGCCCACACAGGTGAATAGCCAGTTGAATAAGATGCATTAGCACAGTCAGAACTGCTTCATGGCAGCATGTTCTCCGTACTCCGTTTCTGTCTAATCTACTTCATTATGTAGGGCTCAGCTTAAATGCTGTCCTTTCCAATAAACCACACCCTGCCATTCTTTTTACAATGCCTTTGTTTGTCAAACCTCATAAGCAGTTAAATTCTATACTCACAAAACAAATCCTTTGCATTCCTTCTTTCTTTGTTCCCTAAGTTTTGAATGGAAGACTCCATTTTCACTGTAGTTCTATTGTTAAGCCCCCTAAGAATAGACCCTTGGTTCAATTTTTATTTCTACCACCCCCAGAACTCTGATTGTTGTAGAAAATTCACAGGAATTCTTTAAGTACCAGCTGATTGGAGAAGATATCAGAGACTCACAGACACCCCTTCTGAACCATCTGTTGTTGTGAATCTCAGTTTAAACAACTGGTTTAGTAGCATTCTACCAGGCTCTACTAAACCAGACTTCTGAAGGTACTGAATATAAATCAAGGAAAAGGTTAACAGAAATAGAGACTACCATGTCAGTGGCCACATAACTAGGAAGAAGCACAGCTGGGATTACAATCTAGATTGCCTTCTTGTTGGTCCTTCATCTTGCCCTCAACCTTCAGTGACAGATGAGAAGCAGAAGAGTGTCAAATTTGATTTGGAGGTCAGTAATAAAAGGCAGGACTTACAGAACTTCCACTGGGACCATGGAACATGGTCACATCACTATAGTAATTCACTCATAGGACTTGGCTAGTAACTATTGATGGAATTAATGAATACTCAAGTAATTTCTACTTAAAGCTCTCACTTATATCATTCTTTTAAGCTATTATGATCTTCATTACACATAAAGTGAAATAAGGGGAGGGATTATATAACTTACCCAAGGACACTAAGCCAGAGCTGAAATATACATCCATGTCTACCTTTTTCATTGTTTTGCCCTTTTCTCTATATGCTGCTGTCTCCTTACATTTCCAGAAATTAAATAGTGAGTAAAATCATTCCTTTGAGTTTGCAATACTCTTTTGGAGACCAATTTGTATCCTCATTATAGTATATAATAAAGGGACATGAGGAACACTTTAAACACAAGAAATACAAACCCAAATTTACTTGGAATTATAGATATTCAACAGATTCAAATAGTAACAGATACTAATAAGTTTATTGTTTTCCTTTGTTTATTTGTAGAAGATCATTCTTTCAAGAAGGCTGCAGACACCAGATTTATTTTCTACTCAGCACTTATAAATCCCAAATTCTACTGACAGTAAGACATCGCAGAACTCCAGAGACACCTAGCCAATCCCATCTCCATCATGGGGGCTGTGACTTGGCTATTGCCGGGCATCTTCCTAGCTTTGCTTGCCCTCCCTTCCGAAGGTGGAGTCCTCAAGAAAGTCATCCGGCACAAGCGACAGAGTGGAGTGAACATCACCCTGCCAGAGGAGAATCAGCCAGTAGTGTTTAACCATGTCTACAACATCAAGCTGCCCATGGGGTCACAGTGTTCTGTAGATCTGGAATCAACCAATGGGGAGAAAGACCTGGCCCCACCATCAGAGACCAGTGGAAGCTTCCAGGAACACACAGTGAATGGGGAAAACCAAATCGTGTTCACACACCGCATCAACATCCCCCGCCGGGCCTGTGGCTGTGCTGCTGCTCCTGATGTGAAGGAGCTCCTGAGCAGGCTGGAAGAGCTGGAGGTCCTGGTGTCTTCCCTCCGGGAGCAGTGCACCATGGGAACAGGCTGCTGTCTCCAAACCGCAGAAGGTAGGAGCTGGGGACAGCTGGCCTCCTCCCTGTGCAGATGAGAGAAGTGATGAACAGAGCAGGACACACTAGTTGCTTCCAAAGTGGGTTCCCTTGGAAACTAGCATATCAAGGTGTTCATTTAAAAAAATAAATAAATAAATGTGGAGAATGTCACAGGAGAGAGTCAACTCTCTCCTGCTTTTGGAGGAGTAGTGATGGCAATTCTTCTTTCTCAGAAGAATTTTCAGGTCTCTGAAAATTAATTATATGTCACAAAAATGTATTTGGCCATGAGATCTACTGATTATCTACTCCAAAACCTATGAGCATACCATGAAATTCCTGCCTCAAAGGGCCCCCTCTGAAAGATACTGCTCTAGCCCCACCACTTCATTATACAAATAGGGAGACTGAGGCCCCACGAGAAGGGTGAAGTTTTCAGGGTCCTGCAGTGAAGGGCTATGTTGGATGGTGCTAAGTCTGTAGGAAGTGGGAAAATGTTCCAGTGTAACAGACCCCTAGAGGTGACGAGGGCCATGGTCACAATCATGACGTAAACCTCCTCTGTGTCCCAGGCACTGCAATCACTGTCTTGTTCTTTCTGCCCAACAACCCTTCAAGATACCCTGCTACAGTTCTAATAATTGAGATTTAAGGAGTTAACCAAAAGGCACAAGAGGACACAAGAGTAAGGAGGGATGGGGACTTTGAATGAGCCTGTGTGTCTCCAGAGCTCATATTCTGCCCCTTCTTCATGTGTACCTCATTTTAAAGAATTTTGCTACTTTGGAATTATATCTTTGTCTCCATTCCTTGAAGTCAATAGAGCTATGGAAGTTTCCACAACTTCAAATTGGAAACAAACAAAAAAATCTCTACTTTTGCCACTCAAGAAAACTACCTGAAAGTACTGTGATGATTGCTTCAAGAGTAGACCTAACTGCCATACATGGGGAGTTCTGTAGAACATGCTTCTAAGGCAGTTTTCAAAAGAGTTTTGTTTATGCATAACTTAGTTTGTTTTCCATCTGTGAACTCTGGCAAAATGTAGATGAGAGAGCACAGTAGGATTTATGCTGGAGTAATTATTTGGAGGAGTGCTGTCCAATAAAAACATAACATGTCCACAAATGTAATCTTACATTTTCCAGTAGTCACATTAAGGAAAATAAAAAGAATCAGGTAAAAATAATTTTGGTGGATGCCAGTGGCTCATGCCTGAAATCCTACCTATTTGGAGGCTCAGATCAGGAGGATCATGTTTTGAGGCCAGCCTGGACAAAAGTTTTTCCAGACCACTTGTCTACCAATAATTGGGTGCAATGGTATGTGCCTGTCACCCCAGCTATGCAGGGAAGCACACACAGGAGGATCACAGTTCCAGGTTGGCCTGAGCGAAAAAATGACACCCTATCTCAAAAATAACCAGAGAAAAAAGGACTGGAGGCATGACTCAAGTGGTAGAGCACCTGCCTAGCAATCATGAAGCCCTGAGTTAAAAAACACAGTTCAGCCAAATAATAGTAATCATTTTAATCATGGTTTTATTCAACTCAATGTAACTGAAATATCCATTTCCAGCCTAAAATCAATATAAAATTATTAATGGATAGCTTAAACTTTATTCTCTTGTGCTAAGTCTTTGAAATCTGGTGTGTATTTTATGCTTGCAGAACCTCTCAGGTCAGATGAGCTATAATCTTCAGTGTAAACTGCCATGTGTGGCCTGTGACCACTCTACTCAACAGCACATACTAGGTTCTCACTCTGCAAACAAGGAAGACAGTAACAGTAATACAACTGTGTCTAGGTGCAGTCTGTGAAAGTGAGTTTTGTATCCTCCTGGGCTCCACGAAGATCAGCGCAGTGACTCTGAAAGCTGAGCCAACGCTTTATTTAGGATGCAAAGGGATGGAATCCCGTCAGCCCATGCTGCATTCCTCAGGCCTTTCAGAAAATGAGAGGCAAACACAGAAAGGCACATGGGTTTTCTGTGCCTTCTGGGGTCAGAGCCAAACAGCAAGGTGTTCTGACAGAATTAGAAAGCCACATTTTTCACCTCATTTTGGTTATGGAAAATTAGAAAGTTTATATGTTGTAAGTCCACATACTGATGTGAGCAAACCTCAAAAAAACGTTTTGGAAAAACAAAGTCACAATGAATTCAAGAGTAAGCCCTTAATGTCTCGTTGAACCACACTGTGCCTGCAGGAAAATGGGCTATCAGGCACACTTAACCTAAGACAAACTGAGCTCCAGAGGCCAAAGCCCTCCCCAAACATAGCATTGAGTCAAAAGTCAGAATTCAGTGGAACAGATGTTTTGGGGGGCATCTCCTGTGTGCCTGACCTTGACTGAGCATTAGAGAAGTAGCAACATAGCTCTGAATAATGCATTTCACAAGGCAGTAGCAGTAATAAGAACTAAGTATCCTCCTCCACAAGGGTAGCACAGGCACTCGTGCGAAACACACACACACACACACACACACACACGTGCATGAGCACACACACATGCGCGCATGCACACACACCCTATCTTTGCACACAAAACGTATAATGTCAAGGAATACAGGTTTAAAATTCCTACCAGGTATGACTGCACAACTGGTTTTGAGTAAGCAACTGGTTTTCAAGCCAGATGGAGCATCCATGCCCTGGCTGAATTTGGCTCTGGGTTTTATTGGTAGATAGGGAGAAATTCCTCCACTTAGCCAGCTCCAGCTGAGAACCTCTGTTGTCTTCACTGCAGGCCGCCTAGACACGAGGCCCTTCTGTAGTGGCCGGGGCAACTTCAGCACTGAAGGATGCGGCTGCGTTTGTGAACCAGGTTGGAAAGGCCCCAACTGCTCTGAGCCTGAATGTCCAGGCAACTGTCACCTCCGAGGCCAGTGCCTTGATGGACAGTGCGTCTGTGATGAGGGCTTCACTGGCGAGGACTGTAGCCAGCTTGCCTGTCCCAGTGACTGCAATGACCAGGGCAGGTGTGTTGAACGGGGTCTGTGTCTGCTTCGAGGGTTATGCGGGGGCTGACTGCGGTCAGGAGGTCTGCCCGGTGCCCTGTAGCCAGGAACATGGCAAGTGCGTGGACGGCCGGTGCGTGTGCCAGGATGGCTTTGCAGGGGACGACTGCAATGAACCCCTGTGCCTCAGCAACTGCTACAACCGCGGGAGGTGCGTAGAGAACGAGTGTGTGTGCGACGAGGGCTTCACAGGCGAGGACTGCAGCGAGCTCGTCTGCCCCAATGACTGCTTTGACCGTGGCCGCTGTATCAACGGAACCTGCTACTGCGAGGAAGGCTTTACTGGTGAGGACTGTGCGACACTCACCTGCCCCAATGCCTGCCACGGCAGGGGCCAGTGCGAGGACGGACAGTGCGTGTGTGATGAGGGCTTCGCGGGCGCCGACTGCAGCGAGAAGAGGTGTCCCGCCGACTGTCACAACCGTGGCCGTTGTCTCAATGGGCAGTGTGAGTGTGACGACGGCTTCACGGGAGTGGACTGCGGGGAGCTCAAATGCCCCAATGGCTGTAGTGGGCACGGCCGCTGTGTCAATGGTCAGTGCGTATGCGACGAGGGTTACACCGGTGAAGACTGCAGCCAGCAGAGGTGTCCCAGCGACTGTCACAACCGAGGCCGCTGCGTCCAGGGCAAGTGCTTGTGCGAGCAAGGCTTCAAGGGCTTCGACTGCAGTGACATGAGCTGCCCCAATGACTGCCACCAGCACGGCCGCTGTGTGAATGGCATGTGTGTCTGTGATGACGGCTACATGGGGGAGGACTGCAGGGACCGCAGGTGCCCCCGGGACTGCAGCCAGCGGGGCCGTTGTGTGGACGGGCAGTGCATGTGTGAGCATGGCTTTACCGGTCCGGACTGCTCAGAGCTCTCCTGCCCCAGCGACTGCCATGGCCAGGGCCGCTGTGTGAATGGGCAGTGTGTGTGCCACGAGGGCTTCATGGGCAAAGACTGCAAGGAGCGAAGGTGTCCTGGAGATTGTCATGGCCAGGGCCGCTGTGTGGATGGCCAGTGCGTCTGCCATGAAGGCTTCACAGGTCTGGACTGTGGTCAGCGTTCCTGCCCCAATGACTGCAGCAACTTGGGACAGTGTGTCTCCGGCCGCTGCATCTGCAACGAAGGCTACACAGGAGAAGACTGCTCCAAGGGTGAGTATGCGCAGGACAAGCTAATGTGGCAGTGTCCGTGATGGAGCGTATACTGGGGTGTGTCCGAGAACTATGTTAGAATTTACTAACACAGAGGTTCTTTTTTAATATATCATGTTAGTGCACATATACTACACACATACATGTATGCACCAACTCTTTGAAGAGGCTGTGGACATTCACACGGCTACCTGGCTGAGGGCTCAAAGGCACAGAATGGTTATATAATTTGGGGGAAGACACATAGCTAGTACATCGCAGAGCAGGTGTTTGAGTGTGCCTAGCTCCTCTATGCCAAGTTTAACATCCAGGTCCTAACATAAGGAAGGTGAAATAAACCTGCTTTCCTATTCTCTGGTTTTGAACCAATAGCAAACAAGATTCCTCTATTTAATGAGAGTGATAATTCAGTGAAATTGAACAGATAGTGAGATTACATAAAACAGGCTTAAATGCACAGTCAGATGATCAGCTATAAAGTACACCTGTCTTTTTGATACTGGTTTTATCCCAAAGGTTGTAAGCTCCCAAAGGAGCACTGTTCACAGCCATTAGCACAAGGGATATAGCAAGTGGTCGGGAAACAATGGTTAGATGAAAATACAATAAAGAACAATAGTGCTCATGTTTAATGAACATCTTATTTGTACTTCTCTCATTCACCTGTTTTATAATTGCTGTAATAGAGAATGCTCTGCCATTGGCGGTTAGGTATAAATAAATGACTCAGTGTTTAACATGGCTGAAACAGGTAAGTCCAGTAAGGAGGAGATGTGAGTTTCAAACTTGAGGAAGTTGGCAAACTTGGGTAAATCCCCTGTCTCACTCACACCTAGGAAATGAAAGAGTTGGACCAATGAGCCTAAAATTCCCCTCCAAGACAAAGGCTGTGTAATTTGCTAGGAGTCAGGTTCAGACTGCACTTTCTCATGCGAAGGGCCTGAGTGTGAGCTACAATGAAGAGAGTAGAGAAGTAGGAGGAGTCAGGTTTTAAAGAGCTTTGAAAGAAAGCTTCCCTACTGAGCCTGAACTTCAGCCCAAAGGCAATGGACTGATGGATTTCAAAGTCGAATCACAACAATCTCTTAGATGAGTTCTGCACTGTAGAGATGGTGATAGCTGGATTTCAGGGGACAGAACTTCAGACCTCTGCTGCTGACATGGAAAAGAAAGTCAAGGGAGGCAAATCTACAGAGATTCTATAGGGAACATTACTAACCCTAGGGGTCTTTTCTTATTCTTGCAGTGTCCCCTCCCAAAGATCTCGTTGTGACAGAAGTGACAGAAGAGACTGTAAACCTGGCTTGGGACAATGAGATGCGGGTCACAGAATACCTCATTGTGTACACGCCCACCCATGCTGATGGCTTAGAAATGCAGTTCCGTGTGCCTGGGGACCAGACATCCACCACCATCCAGGAGCTGGAGCCTGGTGTGGAATACTTCATCCGCGTGTTTGCCATCCTGGAGAACAAGAGGAGCATCCCTGTCAGTGCCAGGGTGGCCACCTGTGAGTGAGCAGAGTTCCTCTGGGTGGGCTCACCTGGCCTCAGCCTACCAGGGCATAACCATCCCCATAAGCCACCCCTTCAACCTCACCCCTTTAGCATTTTCATTTTTCTTTTGTAGTTATATCAGTTAAAAGCCTAGAACCCAGTTAAGACCATTGAATATGTTCCTGAAGAAACTCTTCATTTTCTGCCTAATCTCCCCCCTTGCTTTCCCCATGGCCTTCCTACTTTGCAGGTAACACTTACCCAGTGCTGACCACGTACCAGACCTTATAAAGCACTCTACATATACTAACTTATTTAGCCCTACAAGATAGGAGCAACTGTTAACCCCATGAACAGATGTAGAAACTGAGACTTGGTGGTTAAGCATCTCATCCCAAATCCCACAAGTAAAGTTGAGACTTGAGCTCTGGCATTCCTGGCAGGTGAATGCTCTTAGTCACTTTACTACCATTCCATGAAGCTCATTGTGTTTCCTTAATGGAAATGTTTGGGTTCAAGTCATTCCTTTATGAGTCTGGCATCCATATAATTATCTTCATACCTGAAAAGCAAGCTGTGGCTAGAATTTGCCCCTAGCTGCTTAGTAATAACACTAGCTGCCACTTACCAAGCCTGTTGCATGCCAGGAGCCAGGCCTATTAGTCTACGTGAAATATATCACTCAGTTCTCTCTTTATTCCCAAGGGCAGTCAGAGTCACCTCTTTCTCCCAGGCTCAGGGTATCATTGTGCAACTTACCCAAGATCACAACGTTAGGGATGGTGGAGCTTAGATTCTAGTCCACATCTGTCTGATTCCAAAGCCTGGGCTTTATTAGAGTTAACCATGTAAAATTGCCAATATTTTATCATATGGTTGATCTTAGTAGTTATTAATGTCCATATCCCCTCGTGGTAGACAGCATCCCAGAGGAACTTTTAAGTACACCCAGCTCTGGTTATCAGGCGCAGGATGACAGGCGTCCCTCATAGGTTTAGTGGAATCAATACTGTGTGACTACCACCTTCTTACATCCTATTTATGTTATTCCTTGCAGATTTGCCTGCACCTGAAGGCCTAAAATTCAAGTCCGTAAAGGAGACATCAGTGGAAGTGGAGTGGGATCCTCTAGACATCGCTTTTGAAACATGGGAGATCATCTTCCGGAATATGGTGAGGGATACAAGGGAGCAGGTCTATTTGACCTTGATGATCTGGATGGTGGTCAGAGGAGCCTACAAACTTTCTTATCACTTGATTTCCTTAGCTTTGGGTGGAAGTCAAGGCTCTGGCTAGCACCTTGTGTGTTTGCATTGTATTTTAAGGGATGTTAGTGTTCCTCTAAGCCAAAAAGTACAGTGTTTATGGTTGAGAACCTAGACAAATACAAGTTAAGTCAACTCTATGTTCCATCTTGCAAATCTCTACTTAGAGGTAAGGAAAAGATGAACCAGTCTTTTATCAGAATGCTTCCAGACCTATCTTAGATCTGAGCAGCCCTTCCCTCCCAGGTCCCAAAGCATACACCTCTGTAGCCTCAGCACCCTAAAATACTGATATGATGAATGGGAAGAGCCTAATGAGTAGATGAAATGAAAGAAGAATGAGTGAATGCAGAGAGGGGCTGGCACCCCTCTAAGTCTTACCTCGGTGCTTCTGTCTTACAGAATAAAGAAGATGAGGGAGAGATCACCAAAAGCTTGAGGAGACCAGAGACCTCTTACAGGCAAACTGGTCTTGCCCCTGGACAAGACTATGAAATATCACTGCACATTGTGAAAAACAATACCCGGGGCCCTGGCCTGAAGAGGGTGACAACTACCCGTGAGTACCACCTGTGATCCATGACAGAGCTGACTGTGCTTCGTTGCACCTTCTGGTTGATAGAATGTCCTCTTACATACACAGCACTTATATCATCAGCTTTTTCCCAAATATACTGGCTCTCACCACAGTTCTACAGGTTTATGATATAGAGTTGGGCTCAGATGAGTGACTAGTCTGTCCTTGAATGGGATCGCTCATGCATCGTGCATCTGTGGGGTTAGGGGCTGATTAGTCTCGAGTGGCCTTAGACAGAATGGTGATTTTCTGCTCCATGTGTTCTCATACTCATTAGGCTAGCTGGCCTGTCCACAGGGCTGTTGAGCAGGCTCAAAACTGGAAGTCTATCCCTGCTGTTAGAGCAAATCCCAAGGCAAGTCCAGATGGGCAGGGAAAAAGACTCATTTCCTGATGAGAGGAACATCAAATTTATATTCCCGAGGGGCATAAATGCAGGAAGATAAATAATTTAGGCAGCATAAACTGTCTACCTCGTTGTCTCATTTAATGCTAACACCCAGTCCCTGACAGAGACAGGGCTAATATTCATTGTATTATATTTGAAAAGTAGAAACTAAGCCTTAGAGAAACAATCATTTTAATACCACATAGTTGACATGATCAGGGCCACAACTTTAAGCCAGGGCTACTTTTAGAACCTTAACCCCATTACCACTAACATTGAATAGGCTCTGGTTTTTTGCAGAATGTTAATTCCATGTATTTCACAGAAGCCAAAATAAAATTTCCCTCAATGCTAATGACACCGGAACTTCTCAGAATAGAATAGGATCTAGCTCAATGACAGCATTTGACAGGGAAAAGAAATTGAATTTGAAGTTGCTCTTCCAGGAAGCGATTTTTTTTTTTTACAAGAAGAAAGAAAATAATTTGGAATTGCCATTTAGGAAAATCTCTTTAGTTTTTGAAGATAACGTGTGATAGTTCTTTAAGGAATTGGCTCTTCTTGGCAGGAGATGTTGGAAGTTAAATCTGTTGACTAATGACAAGACAGAACATCTTTCTCTTAGACATTTGCACATTTTGCCTTAGCTCAGGGCCAATTCATTGAACTGTCTCCTTCATAAGCAAGTGCTTTCCATCATCCTGACAACATCTCTCTGTGGTAGGTAGAAGGCAGGTACAGACAGGAGAAAATCATTAGATCACCAGAAAGGCAAAGAAAAGATCAAGCAAATGCCTATTCACTGTAGAGAAAGCACACTGAAATAAAAAGACACTTCTTTCACCTACCCTTTTCTTTTTCATCTAAATTTGAGGATTGGCTGTTTTATTTTCTGCTTATGAAAGGAAAAAACACTCCAATATTTGAAATTTCATTATCATGAAAATATCAACATTAAAGGACACGTATTTTTGATTATGTTCCTGAAGTTTTTCCAGATCTGAAGGACTTGAAACTTTTGGTACAAAACATGTTGCTTCCTTCTTTCTGGCACCTATATAGAGGTTGTATTGTAACTTTTTTATTTATGTATGTATTTTTGGCGGCACTGGAGTTTGAACTCAGGGCCTCACACTTGCTAGGCTGGTGCTCTTACTGGTTGGCACTCTGCCAACCCTTTTTTGCGATAGGTTTTTTTGGAGACAGGGTCTCACAATCTATTTGCCTGGGGCTGGCTTTGAACGGTGATCCTCCTGATCTCTGCCTCCTGAGTAGCTAGGATTACAGGTGCAAGCCACCAGTGCCTGGCGTAATGTACACTATTTTTGTCTTGATTTTTGATGAGAGGCATTGTCATATATGGGGGAATGGATATGGTCTCAGGATCCAGTCAGTCCTGAATTTAAATTCTGTTTTCACCATTCTCCATCACTTTGGAAAACTCCATTTCTTTAAGCCTCAGATTCAATATTTGAAAACGGGCTTATACTGTTTTTCCATGAGACTATCCAGAAAATAGAAACATAAATCCCAAAGCCCATACATGGTCAGTACAGAGTTATGTTAGTTTCCACTATTCACAGAATCCAAATCTAGGGGACTTTCAGAGGTTGGAGAATCCCAACCTCTTCAACAAAAAGAGTGCCAAGAGAGAACACATGGTTTGGGTGCTTGCATTCAGGGCAGACAACTTCACTGTCCATTTGTAGCATCATTTTCATTGCTCATTTTGCAGTCCATCATCCACAGGCTGAGGCAGATATATCAACCCTTAGACTTCCAAAAAGAGATGCTGCAGGATCCTCACAGTCCACTGTGAATTCCTCCTCTCATCCCTGCATAAAGACTATTCCTTCTATCTGGAATCATTTATTTAACCAGTGCTGAAAATGAAGGATAGTTATTTTTTATAAGAACAAGCTATTTTTTATAAGAAGAAATAAAGAAACATTTACTGAATGCCTAGTAGTGAAAATCACATACATGCTTGTCTCTATGCTAGGCATCAAGAAATGCCAAAGACCCATATTCTGAATGAGTGAGTGAATGAATGACCCCATCTAAATTGATCCAAGAGAGAAATCTATACAGGACAGTGAGAAAAGTAGACTGTTAGAAGGTTTTTTTCGGGACAATAGTGTCCACAGGGGAAGATGCTGTATTTACCTGATTGCACAGGGCTGTGGGGGGTGACATATAAGAGAGATTTCCAAAGACAATCTCAGGAAGAAGAAACAAGGAAACAGTATGTGCAGAGTGGAGGAGGTGACAAACCATCTGATGATGTGCTCCCAAGGATCTGAGCAGCATGCTGTCAGAGCACAAAATATGAGTGGGTGGGGTATGGGGGCAGTTAACAGGACAACAGGAAAAGCCAAGGTGAGGATACAAAGATGAGCAAGGCTTGAAGGAGTTGACTCTTGCCTGGGTTCTCTCCATCCAAAACAACTTTCCCTATATCAAGTCTCACATTTCTGCTCACGCCTGTACTCCTATCTACTCAGGAGGCAGAAATCAGGAAGATCACGGTCTAAAGCCAGCCCAGGCAATGGTTCATGAAACCCTATCTTGAAAAAAACCCTTCACAAAAAAATAGGGCTGGTGGAGTGGCTCAAGGTGAAGACCCTGAGTTCAAGCCCCAGTACTGCAAAAAAAAAAAAAAAAAATATATATATATATATATATATGCCATTTAGGAAAGTTTGGCCTAATTTTTAAAAATCATAGGAGCTAGGTTGCTTTGATTCAAAGGAACTATACCCTAAGCATCTTTCCTTGACTTATGAGAGCAGTAACCGTATTATAACGATAATGCCAACAAAAGAAAAACCTTTTATCATGTAATTACTATGTGCTAGCCTCTGTGCTACATGCTTTGCAAGTTTTATCTGCTTTACTATTAAGAGAAAAAACAAACCATAAAGTAAATGTAATAATTCCTACTTATAGTTTATCAAATAAATTAAGGCTCTGAAAGGCAAAATAAAATAAGTGGTCAGTATGTGCCTAAATGTTCACCCACAAGTCTGGAGGCCTGCCCAGCTCCCTGTCTGTTAACCTCTGGCATTCACTGGCCTTGATCTCTGGATCTGCTCTGTCCTCTGCCCTTCACAGGCTTGGACGCCCCCAGCCAGACTGAGGTGAAAGACATCACAGATACCACAGCTCTAATCACCTGGTTCAAGCCCCTGGCTGAGATTGATGGTATAGAACTCTCATATGGCATCAAAGACGTGCCAGGCGACCGCACCACCATTGATCTCACACATGATGAGAACCAGTACTCCATTGGGAACCTGAAGCCGGACACTGAATATGAGGTGTCTCTCATTTCCCGCAGGGTTGACATGTCGAGCAACCCAGCCAAAGAGACCTTTACAACAGGTAACGGCATATCCCCTGTTAACAGGTATAGAAAAGGAAGAATGGCAAGATTTTTACCCCACACCATGTTGGAGTGTCTTCCAGGCTCATTTTATAGCAAAAAAAGTGAAAATGTCATTTCACTCATTGCACAGAGTATTTATTTAAAAATACTATAGCAGTTGATTGCTTTTTCAAAGAAAAAAATCCAAATAACCTCACAAAACATTTTTTGGAAGTTATGAAAAATCCAGCAGTCTCACACAACAAAGCAGTCCTTACTCATGATCTTATTTATAAGCTTTTATATTTTATTTAAGCTAAAGTCTGAGAAAAACACATGATTAAAATGTCACACACATCAATAGCTGGAAAAGTTGCCATGTCTGTGGTCTTTGTTGTAATTTGTATATCAGCTACCGGTATAGAGAGGTTGGGAATAATTTGTCATTTCTTTCCAGTGACAGGTGCCTTTTGTATTTTAGCTTGAACTGTCAATGGGTCCTGCTGTCCTGGTGCCTGGTGTTTTCAAAGAAAATGTTCCTTTTTCTCCCAAACAGGCCTGGATGCTCCCAAGAATCTCCGACGTGTCTCCCAGACAGACAACAGCATCACCTTGGAGTGGAGGAATGTCAAGGCAGCCATTGACAATTACAGAATTAAGTACGCACCCATCTCTGGAGGTGACCATGCTGAAGTTGATGTTCCAAAGAGTCAACAAGCCACAACCAAAACCACACTCACAGGTGAGCACTGTACCCCTGATCCAACAGTCTTAGGGACGTTTGAAGGACAGGACCCTGCTCCCTCACATCCCCATTTTGCAACACTTCAGAGAGAGAAATAAATTCCAGTTCCCGGAATTTCTCTCACTTGAACCACAAGTTAGTTTAAAACACATCTCGGACACTGAGAAATCACAGTGTCCAAAGACCAACCAAAGGCCAATTTTATGATCCTCTGGAAACCCTTTCAGTTCCAGGCTGATCTCAACCTTCTCATTCTCTCTTAGGTCTCAGGCCAGGAACTGAATATGGCATTGGAGTTTCTGCCGTGAAGGAGGACAAGGAGAGCGATCCAGCGACAATCAATGCTGCCACAGGTGAGGCATACCTAGGATTCCCACCACAAATGAGCAGACGAGATAGGGCTGATGAGGCAGAAACCTACTAAAAGAAAAATGTAGAAGCCCAAAGGAGAAAGGGACCTCTAGGACAGTGGAGCCCAGAGGCCTACATTCAAAACCAATATAAGCATCCTTATATTGCTAACTAGAGGATATACAGGACCCTGCTCTATGTACAGGAAAGAGAATGGGGGATTTTTTTTAAAAGAAAAATTAGAAGAAGACTATATAAGAAATCCACATTTCTGTTTTTAAATAAGCCATTGTTTAATTAAAACATACCTAGGGGATTTTTTCCTTAACCTCAGAAATAACTCCATCAAGCAGATGCTTAGCGGCAGGACCCCAGTTAACCCAGGTCCTACTCTTTCTTACCCATTGCAACCTGTAGTTCCAGAATTGGCTGAGGGCCAGGAGAGGCTACAGGATTGGAGGCCATTGAGTCTTCCTCAAGTTTTGTTTTGTTTTGTTTTTCCTGGAAAATTTGCACTTAAAAAAATCTCCCTCTGCATTTTGTGGTATGAGTACACCACTACATAATTTTCAATCTTCCAAAAATCCAGTGAGGCCTGTCTTAGAAAGGTGGGAACCGAGGCTCACAGAAGTAACTATCCTGTGGACCTGCATCCCCTCTGTGGCAGACCCATGATCCTAGCCCTGAGTCAGATGTGTCAGCCCAAGAGGCAGCTGTGTCTCTCAATCTAAAGAGTATTCATCTCCTTTTCTCCCAGAAATGGACGCACCCAAGGACCTTCAAATTTCTGACACAACAGAGGACAGCCTGACCCTGGTCTGGAGGACACCACTGGCCAAGTTTGACCGCTACCGCCTCAACTACAGCCTCCCCACAGGCCAGCCAGTGGAGGTCCAGCTGCCAAGGGACACCACCTCCTACATCCTGAGAGGGCTGGAGCCTGGACAGGAATACACCATCCTCCTCACAGCCGAGAAGGGCAGGCACAAGAGCAAGCCTGCACGTGTGAAGGCGACCACCGGTGAGTCACCCGGAACCCCCTAAAAACCCCTGTTGACTCGGTTTGCAGAGTCCTGCAGCTGGGTTTTCCTCACATGAGATGACCAGATGGAAAATGTGCTGCTTTCTCACCATGAAGCCTGTAAATGCCACCCTGAAACAGCGGCTTCCTTGTCTTTCTCAAGGATTAACTTGTCCTCTTGTCAAGTGGTTCAGCCAAGTTCCCTCTCTGGGCATCAGTGGGTTTTAAATATTTCTTTCCAGGACAGCTTACAGCATGGAGGTCTATTTGTTGTTGTTGCTATTCTTTTTAAATTTTTATTTCACAGCATCTTTTAAATTGTTTATCCCCCATTTTGTCTTAACAATGGATTTACTGTTAATTTTTTTAAGGATGACCAGGATGTTGGAGATAATTTTTGGTTACTTTCCTTACAGCATTTTTGTTCCAGATTCCTTGTTTTGCTTAAGGTTGCCCTGAAGAGCCACATAGGGTTCCTTGAGCCTCCTTAGGCACTTCTTCCTTTCTCTTTTCCCTTAGGTGTGAAGAGGTTCACCTGGTTTATCCTGGTTAAGCCTGAGCCCAGTGTCCCTTCTAGTCTGATGCCATGTTTTCTCAGTGGTTGAGTTAAATCAAATCAGGAAAAAAATGATTCTTCCTATATGAAAAATAACACGTTCAATGTCAGCCACTGAGTACTCAAGATTTGTGGGTGGGAAGCAGTGCTTCTTCAGGGTATGGCAAGTAGTAGTCTCAACTTTCAATTTAATTAGTAAGGATGTATTGTGCACCTGTACTGAAATGCTGATGTTTGAGTAGGATTGAATCAAATAGTCAGCATGGTTAGGTAGACTCTCTGGTTTCTGCTCACAGTCACTAAGGAAAGCTAGATATCCTGTGTCAGGTAGAACCCAATCAAGGAAATGAATTAGGAATCAGGAGCAGCTGGCAAAGTTGTCGCAACAGAAATGTGTCCCAGCTGAATGAACCATGATGATCAGCAAAACAGGTCTTTGGAAACACCTTGAAGAGTCTTTGTCATTGACAAATTATCTTTAATCGACCATAACAGAAATCTCAAATAACAGTCATTTAAGTAAGCTAGAAGCTGGTTTCCTTTCTCATAAAATGAATCTGGGTGGTTTGGGGCAACATAGTAGCTTCAAATGGTCATGGACCCAGGCTTCTTCCATCTTTCCATTCCACCATTTATAATCCTTGGCTGTCATTCTCAAAGTCACAGTATAGCTGCTGCAACATGGTCATCACATCTGTGTTCTAGACAGCATAATGGAGGGAGAACCAAAGCTTTAAAACCAGACTACCTGCTGGATGAGCTTTTCTGGAAACCTCAGCAATCACTTCTCACCACATGTCATTGGCCATTCTCAGCTCTAAGTGGGACTGAGATGTAGCCTTCTGTCTGAACATGCTGCTGTACACATGAAATCATGGTTGTTTGTAAGGAAAAGAGGGAAATTTGTCAAACAAAGGTCAATCTCTGCCACAGACTGTGAAATAAGCCCAGATGGTGAATTCTGTTGACCCTGTGCAGGGACAGCTTCCCACTTGGCTGTGAGATGATTATCAAGGATGCTCAGAAGGGAACCTTTAATCAAAGGTGGTAGAGGGACAGAATAGAATAAAGAAGAAATAATTCAGCACAGATTTGAATATTTCAATCAAAATGGTAAATGGGAGCAGAATATTTTCTAGTATACATAGGTGTGGTTAAAATGAAATTCTTCTTCTTCTTCTTCTTCTTCTTCTTATCTTCTTCTTCTTCTTCTTCTCTCTCCTCCTCCTTTTCTCCTTCTCCTTCTTCTCCTTCTCCTCCTCCTCCTCCTTGTCTTCATCCTCCTCCTCTTCTTCTTCTTCTTTCCCTCTTCCTTCTTGTCTTCTTCCTCCTCCCACTCCTCATCCCCATCTCCTTCTCCTCCCTTTCCCTCCCCCTTCTCTCTTGTCCTCTCCTCTCCTTTTTACCTCTTCAGTTTCTCTCTGCAATTATATTCTGGGAAACCCAACCAAACCTTGCTTAAGGTCAAGGCATGGATTTTCTGTAAGCAATAAGGAGCATAAAGCAGAGACCACAGGTAGAACACAAGGATAATGAAGCACCATTCCATAGCAACATAGACTCAAGAGTGACAGCCCAGTAATTCACATGAATTTTGGAAGCAGAAAAGGTATAATTTCATTTTAACCACACCTCTGGATACTAGAAAATATTCTGCTCCCATTTACCATTTTGATTGTCTTGTGGAGCAAGCTGAAATGTATTCAGATATTTATCCTTTCAACAAGTATTTATTTCATGCAGACTGTGAGTCAGACAATGCTCATAGGTATACAGAACAGAAAGGCACAAGAAACGGTGCACTGCAATGTGAAAGACTGAAATTCAAAACCAAAACTATCAGAATGTAACTCACCTGTTTGAAGGACAAGTGGAAGCCTCAGTGGGATAGAGGCAGGTCCCCATCATACACCTGGGAAAGGGAAGGAACTGCTCAGAGAAGTTCAGGAAGACGTGACACTTGGCTGAATGCTCAAAAATTAAAATCAGTCTGCAAGTGGAGAAGGATCAATAGCATTTCCAGCTAGAGGGACAGCACCCAAAAGGCTCAAAGACATGAGAGACTTCATCTTTGTGCAAACCAAGCTGTGGCATTGACTGCATGGAGGGAGAATAGCTGGGCACAGGGCTAGGGAAGCATCAGAGACATCTGCAAAGGGCCAGGAATGTTATGTTCAGGGATTTGAACTTTACTCTTGAGAGTTACAAAGAGTTGCCAGAAAGTTTTAAGGCAGCCAAGACTGTACATTTCAATGACTTTATCTCTACAAAGTGAGATTGGAGTCATTTAATTCAGCCTTTGGGGTCCCCAGGCTTGGATTCATCCACTTTCCACCAGGCTGTGGGAGAATCAGTCTGTCTCCCATAAGTGAACACTAAAAGCGACTTCTCATCCAGCTGACACTTGGTAATTACCATCTATGGGGCAGGAATCTAAAGATCTGACATGGACACTGCCAGAAATTCCTCTGGGCCAGCTGGTCAACCCACCATGAGCACAAACACCGGATTTCAAACTTCTGATTTCCCAGGCCCACTACATTGTTCACAGGGTAGATTCCAATGCACAGCTGTAAGAAAAAAGACAGCAGCCTTTTCATTAAGAAATGCCAAGAAAGTCAGTGTGGAAGTGTACAGTGGAAACATTTGGCTTCTGGGGCAGGAAGCCCACAGAGTGTCATTTGCTTTAGAAACAGAGTCAGCCCTTATGTAAAGCTTCTTCGTTCCTAACTCAACTCCTGTCTATTATATCTTTATCCATAGTATTCCCCGTTCTTTCATAATTCCTATTCCTTTCTCTTTCATTTATCTACTGGTCTTATTTGTGTACTTCTCTGAGCAGTATTTGTTTAGTGGAAGGGGCAGGGTGGGATGCCAACAGCATCTACTGTGGATCTGACCACACAGGATGGTTCTCAAACAATAGCCAGTGCTCTTTCTTGACTTGCCTACAAAAAAAAGTGGAAGAATGGCCAAAAGTGTTGACCAAAGACCAGCATCATGATTATTATTTAGTGAGTGAGCCTGCATTGTGTGAAAATTAGTCTTTCTTCAGCTGTATGAACAGATGAAGCAGGGAGTGAGGGTCATTGTAGAATATATACAATAATTCTACAATAACATATACAAAAGCTGATTCACAGAAAGAACGCGATGCTTAGCATGAAGAGACATTTTCTAATGTGTCTCTCCACTTTTCTTTCTATCCCTCTTTACTGTGACAGCTTAGCGTGTGATCTGTAATCACCTCTCTCCCTAGTTAGGTAACTCTCCCCACATCATTTGCAAACTGATATCTGAAGTTTCTTTCATGGGAAAAAATGTAGTCATAAATAGAAATAAGACTTAAAATAAAGATACCTGGAAAAAAAAGAGACATAATTCACACAAAGGTATAGATTGTTGATGTCATCTAAATTTCTGATAGGATAATTTCCGATTGGATAGCAGGAGAAACAAAAAGAGCAAAGAGAGCTACAAGGGGGAGTTTGAAAAACATAAGGGTTAATTTTGTTTTTTGCTTAGTTTTGGTTTTTATCCCCTATCTCTCTTTATGCTGGGATATCTAAGGAGGACATGCTCCTGAGTTTAGTTGTACTAAAATCCCAAGATCAAGGACATAATACTTTTATGTGGAAGTACTGTTTTTGACCCCACAAGGGCCCATGAGTTTAAGGGTAACTGATCCTTTCTTTCTCCAAATGTAGACGTTTTACTCTGAGTTTGGGGGCCTCTCCTTCTCATACGGATCATAGCTAACAACTGCCCTAAAGACTTGGGTGTGAGTTCCAGAATATGAATTTGGGTTAAACAAAGAACCCATACATGGTAGCTCAAAATGAAGTATCACAAATGATTTCTGTACAGAATCAGATGATAACTATTTTAACTACTGCAGGCCAGTGTCTGTCACAACTACTCAGCTGTGCCATGTGGCACAAAAGCAGCCATTGGCCACATGTGAGTGAACAAAGTGACTATGTTCCAATAAAACTTAGTTTAAGACACTGAAATTTGAATTTCATTTAACTTCATGAAATATCATTCTTCTTTGGATTTTTTTTTTTTTGCCAACCATTTAAAAATGCAAAAACTGATGTCAGCCTGATAACTGACTAAGCCAGGTGTGGTCCTCAGTTTGTGGTTTGTGCATGTATGTCCTAGATCAAAATAAATTCAAAAAGAAAAGAAGTTTGAAGGATTGTAAGCTTTGCCAATATGAAATAATTAAGAAGAATATTCTCAAGAATCTAGAAAAGTCTGAATTAAATAGATTCTAGAAAAGAAATGTTTTCTCTGCTGAAAGGGTGTCCTCAGTAAAATTGTAAGCTAACATTTTCAAGTTCAAAGACTGCTTTCATGGACATATAGGACCCATTGGAAATTGTAAAACGATTTGTTCTTTTCAGTGTGCAAGCAGTTCCAACTCTCTTGTTCACAGGATACATTTGTAGGGAAATCCTTTGTCTCCAGGTCATGCAAAGTCCATCTAAGCCAGCCCTGGGCAAATGGGTCCCTTTAAGGCAATTTCAGACAAGTGAATTTTTGTGAATGCCTGTGCTCCAAAGATGAATAAAGATGGAGCATTCAATTTTAATCTAGCTTAGTAAATGGTTTCCTCCCAGAGCCTCAGTGTTTCTATTTAGTGAGGGAGTTTCTCAAAGGCTTGTCAACTTTTTTAGTTCAACCTTACTAATACTGTGTTAATTTACTTCTGATATTTACTGAAGTGGTTGGGATAAATTGACTTGAACCCCAGAAACCGACAAATTCCCAATATACACTCTAACAGCCCTTTCAGGGAAGACTGAGTCTGCACAAAAAGAGAATCTGAGAGTATATGAAAGACAGAACACTGGAACAAGTTCCCAATAGTGGAGGGCCACCTCCCTATGATGAGAGAGACTGTCCAAAATGGAAACTCAGGCCTGGAGCATTCCTATCATAGAGTTTTCCAAACCTACAGGTCAAAAGAAAAATACATTTCCCAAAAGACAAACCCGAATGTACATAAAGGCAAAATGAGCATAATTTTGATTTTTCTGTTGGTGTTTCAATGTTGATATTTTAGGGGGTGTCAGGAGCAAAGCAATATGTGTAGACCCAAAGGGCTTGTCAGCAATGTGCTTGCCACTGCTGGGATGGCTCTCAGAAGGAAAGAAAGCATCTGAAGGAATAGTCTAACTGACCCCATCTCTGTCATTACTCAGAACAAGCCCCAGAGCTGGAAAACCTCACGGTGACTGAGGTTGGCTGGGACAGCCTCACACTCAACTGGACCACAGCTGACCAGGCCTATGAGCATTTTGTCATTCAGGTGCAGGAGGCCAACAAGGTGGAGGCCACTCAGAACCTCACAGTGCCCGGCAGCCTGCGGGCTGCGGACATCCCAGGCCTCAAGGCTGCCACCCCTTATAGAGTCTCCATCTATGGGGTGATCCGGGGCTATAGGACACCAGTGCTCTCTGCCGAGGTCTCCACAGGTACTTCCTTCCTTTATATTAAGGCTTCTGTTTCTTCCATTGGACACTGCCTAAGGACAGTCAGACACAGTTAACTTTGGAAAGTGCTTGTTCTGCCAGAGGCCATAGTGCCATGGGATCTGAATGTGGACAACCAGGCCATCACGTTACATATGCCAAGGCCACCTCCATACCTCATTCCAGGCAAACAACACACTTTGCAGCTGTACAGAGCCCATTCTGTGGGACCATCTACACAGCCCCAAGGAGGGGACTGTTAGCTTTGCAAACAGGCTCTCCCATTAAAAAATGTTAAAACACTATATTCAAAAGGAAAAGAGCTCATAAAATCAATACCCTCATTCCCTGACATTTAGGTAATTCTTTAATAAGCTTAAGAAACAAGTGTTTTCTGTTACACTGCTCTATTTCTAAAATTTAAAAAGTTGCATGATGCATGTTTATCTAGAGAATGTCACGTTAAGTGACTTTCTTGTGTTCCAGATTCTCTGGATCTTGGTGTGTGATTTAAACTAGTTCTTTCTCCTTCTCCAGGGGAAATTCCCAATTTGGGAGAGGTCACGGTGGCCAATGTGGGCTGGGATGCCCTCAAGCTCAACTGGACTGCTCCAGAAGGGGCCTATGAGCACTTTTTCATTCAGGTGCAAGAGGCTGACAGAGAGGAGGCAGCCCAGAACCTCACAGTCCCAGGAGGACTGAGGTCCATGGACCTGGGAGGGGAGGCGGGGGGGGAGGGGCTGAGAGGGGGGGGGGGGGGGGTGCGGGGGCGGGGGCGGGGGGAGAGGGAGGCGGGGGGGGGCTGGCGGGTGGGGTGAGGGGGCGGGCGGGCGGGGGCGGGAGGGGGGGGGGGAGGGGGGCGGAGCGGGTGGGGGGCGGGGAGGAGAGGGGGGAGGGGGGGGGGGGAGGAGGGGGGGGGGGGAGGGGGGAGGGCGGTAGGGGCGGGGCCTGCGAAGGGGCCTGGGTGGGGGGGGGCAGGGGGGGAGCGGCGGGAGGGGCGAGGGAGGGGGGGGGGGGGGCGCCGGGGGGGGGGGGGGGGGCGGGGGGCCTGGGCTCAAAGCAGCCACTCACTATAGCATCACCATTCGTGGGGTCACTCGGGACTTCAGCACAGCCCCTCTCTCTGTTGAAGCGTTGACAGGTATTCTAGACGAATTCATACATTTGTTCCATCCTCCTTGCCTCTGCTCAAAGGGATCAAAGCTGTAAACTGGGTTCAGCCCCTACTACATCAGGGAAATGCCAGTGAATCATTCTTGCTTCTTCCCAAATGTCATATCCCTTATTTGGCCAAGTCTAAGTGTTATCCTGGTAGCCAGTTCCATGGAAAATTCCACCTACCCTTCCCTTTACAAAAGTGAGAGGTGACTTTTTTTGCTATGCAAGTTTCAGTCATAATATCTAAGAAGTTGGAAGTGAAAAAAATAGCTCTGAGCTCATTTTAAGAACACGAAAGGACTCCCTGAAGCCCTGTTTGTATGTCAAGAATGGAAGTTGTGAACAATTCCTGAAACCACCTTTCATTTCCAAAGGCTGAAAAGAAAAACCCGGCTTAAGTGCCAACGATTAGAGTGTGTTCCACATTGCTGTAAATCATGCATCTGTAATCAACACTAACCAAACAGTTCATCCTAACCTTAGCCAAAACGCCATCTCACCTGAACCCCAGCATGCAATTGCCTTTTTTAGTAACTCAGCCACTCTGTGTCCTTATGCAGAGGAGGTTCCAGGTCTGGGAAACCTCACAGTGACCGAGCTTAGCTGGAATGCCCTCAGACTGGACTGGACCACACCAGATGAGACCTATGATCAGTTTATCGTTCAGGTCCAAGCAACTGACCAGGTGGAAGAGGTTCACAATATCACCGATTCCTGGCAGCCAGCACTCCATGGAAATCCCAGGCCTTAGGGCTGGCACCCCCTACACAATTACCCTGCATGGCGAGATCAGGGGCAGCAGCACTCGACCCCTTGCTGTGGAGGTCATCACAGGTATATGACCTTCCTTTCGGGCCTAGGATGTGATATGAGCCAGCCTGTCACTGGAGTAGAAAAAAATGCCCCATGTGGCAAGATGTCCTACTTCAATGTGGTTAGCAGGTAGCATGAATCTCTATCTCGGGAAGGCCTGGACTGAAATTTCACCTTATTAGCTGAATATTCTTGAGTAGATCACGTTTTATCTCAAGAGCCTTCTTTTCTCATCTTTAAATCAGAGACAATATCCCTATTTCAGATCACTGTCATAAGCAATAAATGAGCTAATGAATGAAAGTGCTTAATAAAATGTCCATCATATAGTCAGTATTGCCTAGCAAACAGCTAAATATACAGCCACAGTCACAATAAAAAGTAGCACAAACAGCAGAACTACAGCACAAGGATAAGATCAGAACTTTCTAGAGAAACCTTATCATTACTGGCCTTAGAGTCACTAACTAATCCCCAACTCCTAGTCAGTTTTATACAGAATTACCCTGGGAACTGATCTAGTTACCTTTGGCTGAAGTTGCCCAAGTCCCTCTTCTTAACAGATTGTCAAGGAGAAATTATTTCCAAGAAAGGACAGCACATTTGAGCTCAATGTTTTTCATTCAACTTGGGGAGAAAAAAATAATTCATCTCAATTTGTCCCCTGAACTAGGCTGCTCCATCTATCATAGGAAACTGTGTGCAGTTCATGCAATGTCTAGATAGCTTCCAAAGGACTGCAGGAAAATGGGCCAAATTTGTGGAAATGAGGTTTTCATGCTGGGCCCTAAGCCCATGCCCTTCCTCACATCCTCAAATTTTGATAATGCCACCCGAATCATCTAATTCAAATAAATCATTTTCTTGCTCATATATACCAAATAAACATTGCTAGAAACTACACAATAAAAATAAGAAAGGCGATGTTATTATTTACCTCTGTTAGCCATGATTATCATGGTCTCATGTTTCCTGGGATATTTTCAAGCCAAATATGAGCAAAAGGGGTCTTTAAGACTTGTGATCGGCAGGATGCCGAAGGTTCTACTCTGAAAACTTTTGATTATAGCAGCAAAAGTTCTGTAGCAAATGAAATCTCCTAGTGAATGTCCCTCCATGACAGATAAACAGCTGTTTTTGGTGATCTGGGAAGGAAGAGGGGACATATGTATCTGTGCTTCTAAAGTGCTTCTTTCAGAAAAGCACCAGGTTTGAAAACAGCCCCCTAAAAGGAAGCAGTCACTCAGGCTCTCACATTGCACTGAATCCTGGGATAACTAACAAGAATCCCCCACCTTTTGGGAATTGGAACCCCTGTGGATGTTTTGCTCTCTAACTTCTACTCCATGGTCACTTTTGCCTTAAAAGCAAAAGCAGTAGGCTTTTCCATATCCCACACTTTCTTAATCGGCAATAATAACTAATAACTACATTAAATTCCCTTCCTACAGTGTAGAAAAATTAATGGTGGGAATTACTCTGCACTATTTACTAAGCCAAACAGAACAGTTTTTAATTAAAAATAGTTATGGTTTTTCCACAAAGAACAGCCTTGCTTTGTAACACAGCCATTCTTCACTCAAATAGCCAGCAAAAGAAGGTGTGGGGGGAAATACAAGTCAAGAATCTAGTACATAACCTCTGATCCCTGAAAAACCAAGAAAAGCCCAGTGATAAAACATCATGCTTGCCCAAACTTGAGATGGCATATGCATTAGAAACCCAAGAGGGTAGCATGTGGCCAAGAATGATGTGGTGTCTAGTTTCAAGCAATGAAATGAAGAAGTCAGTCTCTCCCACGTAACTAAATTCCAAAGGGACACCTAGATAGTGGCAGATTATTTAAGTTGCCATTTATCAGGCACTCAGTAGGTATCAGGTATGATAGGAAGAGGTTGGTAAATATCACCGTGTAATCATCACCCAATCCCATGAAATGTACTGTCAGTTCCATTTAATGTTGAAGAGAGTGACATTCAGAGAGAAGCCAGGTGACACACCTGTGATAGCACAGCCAGCAAATACAGAGTTGGAGTTCTAACCAAAGACTGTTTACCTCCAAAGTCTGTACTTTTAACTACTCTCACTTCCTTACCCAGACCCATGATCCCACTGTTTCCCTATGGCCTTTAGCACACGTCCTCAGAGAATTCCCAGTGGACTGTGCAATAACACAGATGCCTTTGTCATCTTGAGGATGCACCATGCAGACGTTCCCTTCCTGACCATTTTTACCTCCAAAAGAAAGCGAAAGCCAGAGTATCAAGTTTAAACTCTTTTCCCAAGGTTCCCTGCTTCCTCTCCAATGCCAAGAGACAAAAAGTTATCAAGAAAGAAAGGAAGGAAGGAAGGAAAGAAAACTTCTCTCTCCCTTTCTCTCTTTCCTGGTGCTGGGCTGTGGGACATTTGACTTTCTCACTTTTGGTTTGCGGTACTGACAAATCCCTCTCTGTCCTTCTCCAGAGGAGCTCCCCCAGCTGGGAGACTTAGCCGTGACTGAGGTTGGCTGGGATGGCCTCACACTCAACTGGACCACAGCTGACCAGGCCTATGAGCACTTTGTCATTCAGGTGCAGGAGGCCAACAAGGTGGAGGCCGCTCAGAACCTCACAGTGCCCGGCAGCCTGCGGGCTGCAGACATCCCAGGCCTCAAGGCTGCCACCCCTTATAGAGTCTCCATCTATGGGGTGATCCGGGGCTATAGGACACCAGTGCTCTCTGCTGAGGCCTCCACAGGTACCTCTTCTTCCCCACTGCCCATGCTTTTGCCCCAAGGTTCCCTGCTCTTCTCCAAGATGGCATGGAGTCTGCTTCTCTCCATAGCTGAACCCTTTCCACATGCCCTGTAGTTGCTGGCCGTGCAATGCTCAGAGCTCTCCTTGTGGGCTGTGCCTTCCTCCAGATGCCTTTGCCATGGCAGGTGAATAATGCAGATGTCGCCCTTTCTGGCCTCCAGCCTTCTTTTCCCTCTCCCGTAGTTTACCTGGTCAAAAGACATTTCTTTTGCCTGGTGGCTTTCTGTTTCAGCAATCAGCCTGGTGGTTTTATCCTGGTGGTTTTGGCTTATAGCCAAAAACCCACCCTTCCCACGTGGGAGTTCTGCTGAAACACAGATCATTTACTTAAGAGCACCTTTTACCACTTGGAAATGGTGCTGTACTATCTCCAGCTACCTCAAGGATATGGGTCTTGTGGTTCTTGCCTTTAAGAAATGTTTCTTTAAGGTGCACTGAGTAGAATAAGAGAACTAAATTCCCCTCCCCTGGGCATTTCTCTCAGATACTGAGTCATTGTTAGAACAGCAAATTAGCAAATAGCTAGTCCAAAAAGGAAAAAACATCATACAATTATGACTGGAGACTGTACCAAAGAGCAAGGCATTCATTAGTCGAAGCACACCCAGCATCCTTTGGAACAAGGAATGTCCCAGGCTATGAATGTGAAAGAGCCATAGATGCCCGTTTTGCTCTTTGAATTGAGAGCTGCTCCCTGGAGTGTGGGCCTTTGGGTGGCAAACTCCCAACCCCAGGTCCAGGATGTGAGTTTTGGTTTACTTTACTCTGGTGATAAGGCATTTCAGCTTCCCTGGGAGCCTGTGAAGTGAGAGCCTTCGCCAGTACTATGTTCCATTACTTGTCGTTAGGATGCCCCAATATTTAAACTCTGTAAAGAACTCAGTAAAGATAGTTTTGATATGCTTTGATTTGCATATGACTGCATTTTTACATAATTATTTCATGGCAAATGAAAAATTGTACATTCTTCTTGATTCAAAAGCACAGCTCTGGAATTTAGCCTTATTCATTTCAGTAACTCTCACTGAGATAAACATAAAACAAAGGCAACCACTGCAAGGACAGCAACCTCAAAATGCCTAGAAATTGCAGTTGAGCTGCCCAAAGGTGCCCTGGGGCTCTTTTATCTGATACCCACAAACCATCCCTTCCCAGAAGGCAGAGAAATCATCCACCACTTCTGATCTTTCCTGCAGATCTTGTGGTTTGCATGTCAGTAGTATTTTAGAGTGGTGGTGTGTGTGTGTGTGTGTGTGTGTTCCTTTTTAATGATAGCAACATTCTTGCTTGTGATGACTTGGCCCATTGGGAGGAAGGCCCATAATTCACTGATCTGTGTCTCAACAAATCTGTCGGGATAGTCTCAGAGGTCAAAGACAGAAGTAGTTTTCCAAGGTCTGTGCCTGCCTGCTCCCTGCATGCCTTATATCTATTGCTCAGAAAACATGGGCAAGACATCTCCAAGGCAAAATATTCCTTGGCTGAAAAGGGTTGCCTGAGCTACCTTGTCTTGGCTTAGCAATCTTGGTTGGCAATGCAGAGTGCTAGCCTTCTTGGCCCACATAGACACAGAAAAGGATAAACTATTTTAAGAGAATGTGAGAACCGCTGGATGGCCCTTATCTGTAGTCTAAAAAATCACTAAGAATTACACTGAGAAATTAGTGGGTCCCTTCAAATTCTCAAATCAGAAGTCTCAAGGAACCACTTTGGGAGAGTAATGGTGTCATAATTATTTAGCTCTCATTTGAGTAGATGGGTACTTGTTCAAAGCCAGGGCTGCCTAGGGAGGCATCCAAGTAATCTTGGGCTTCTGAGTACAGCTGATACTGACAAGAGGGCACTGCCAACCCTCCTATCTTTTGACCAATGGCTAGCAGCTTTGAGATGGGGCTCCAGGAGGCACGTACAGTTACAACAAAGCAGCACCCACTGGGGTCATCCAACGTCTCCTCTCTCGAAGCACCTCACCAGGCTTGATCATGAGTGGCAAGTTCAGAGCCGCAAAATCTAATTGCCATAGCTTCCTTTCTTAATGTCTCTTAACAAAACGCCTTTTTTTCCTTTCTCATTGGCACTGATCAGTAACATTGCTTTCTTTCACCGTAACCTTGAACTGTCCAGTCTTCTTCCCCAGAAATGGTCCTATTAACACCCTCAATCCTCATACACAGCCAAATAATTAACTCAAACTTATTTGTTTCTTCTCTCCCACCCCTTCCTTTTTCAGCCAAAGAACCTGAAATTGGAAGCTTAAATGTTTCTGACATAACTGCTGAGAGCTTCAATCTCTCCTGGACAGCTACCGATGGGGTCTTCGAGACTTTTACCATTGAAATTATTGATTCCAATAGGTTGCTGCAGTCGGCAGAATATAACATATCTGGTGCTGAACGAACTGCCCACATCTCAGGGCTCCCCCCTAGTACTGATTTCATTGTCTACCTCTCTGGACTTGCCCCCAGCATCCGGACCAAAACCATCAGTGCCACAGCCACCACAGGTACATAAGCCTTCTCCCATTTCCTCAGTCTTTTCTGCAGGATGAAGCCACTCGTCCCCACCCACTGGAGTACAGGCCACAGTACTAACTCTTCTGTGATGCTAGACTGCAGTGCTATTTAACATAACTCTTTTCCAACAGCAGCCCGAATGTGCATCGCCTGAAACCATGTGCCTGATTTATCTGTCCGTGGCAGAATATTTGCAGCATAAAATGTAGGTTGGTCCAAGTTGCCGTATGGAGTCTGGAGAAAATAATTCTCCCCTTTGGTAACTTAAAAGGCATCACTGACAGTTGTCCTTGACTTGATGTCTACATCAATTAAGGAGATATTTAAAGTTATATTTTAGGGCTGAACCCTGGTGAGTCATGCTTGTGATCCTATCTACTTGGGATGCTGAGATTGGGAGGATCATGGCTTGAGGCCAACCCAGGCAAATAGTTCTCAAGACCCCATCTCCAAAATAACCAGAACAAAATGGACAGGAGGTATGGTTCAAGGAGTAGAGTGCCTGCTTTGTAAGCATGAAGCCCCACCAAAAAAAAAAAA